AACAAAATTGCAAAAGTGTAGATTTATAATTGGATTGAGTTGATGGAATTAGCTAAAATACAATTAAGATCCAATTCAGTTAAGCCACACATGCACAAAAGAAATCAGAAAGTCCTCTCCTAGCTGCCTCTCATCTTTTGTGAACATACCGATACCTCTATATCAAATATGCAGTACTAAAGACCTGCATTAACAGTAGAAATATGATGTGATTTTTGTCTTTCTGTGAACCTCACTCTTGTAGAAATAAAAGACTGAATGTTATAATAATTTACACTTCTTCTCGTTATATTTTGATTAGTAATACTCCCTCCTGGTCCTGGAGAGCTATGGGGCTTTCTGGTTTACATTGTTCCTGAGCTCCTAGTTATTTAATTGAATTAATTACTGACTCAATTAGGCAACTTTTGAGAATATTGAATTACCTATACAATGTGTAGTGCTTTGGCTTCCCAAGATCCAGGATATGTAACATTGGCTTACATACTTCATTAAGTAGGATAAAAGTGACTTACAAAATGTCATATTGTTTAGATTAGTTATTTACAGATGTGTTTCTTAATTAGATATTTTATAAGATAGATGTATATGTATTTTAATATAAAATGTTACATAGTTTATATTATTGCTATTGTTACACGGATTATTACACAAAGCCTAATAACAATAGTGACTCTCAGTTCATTGCTGTACTTTTTAGTTACTAAGAAATATGTACAGTATATGTTTTCCATATTATAATAACCGTTGCTTTTCTATAATTTGCTTTGGTTATTCTTTGTCTCATCCTTCAATTCCTTCATGACCCCATTATTAAATATCATGGATCTTCTAATAATCTTGCCTCACATTAAAATGAGTTGCCCACAGGAGAAAGAGCAACCCTTGGAGTTTAATTTGTATCATTTGGGATGTTCTAGCAATCTGGAGGAAGCAACTGAAGAGTAGGTGTTTGAATATTGCATTAATTATCCCACGTGGAGACAAAGTCATTATCTGATTATGAAATCTTTAGACATAAACTGACCTGTTTTCATGCTCGAGAGGCTTAAGGTTATTCATATCAAGTTTCCTGTTAAAATAATGCACACGTGGAGAGACTTTTCAAAGACCTCTATGTACAATGATATGCAATATTGAAGCAATTGTCCTTTTAAGCAACACAATTGTGTAATGAGATCTGATTTTTTATTTTTGCTTTATTTTTGCTATTGTATATTTGTTTTACCATAGTTATCTGATCACTATCCCATAGTTTATGTGTGATCCAAAAGGATAATATGTCATTTTTGAACAAAAAGATAACATTTCTTTTTCTGTAAGGAATGTTTCTATTTAGGCAAACTGTAGAAATAATAACTAAATAAATGTGTTGCATGATTTGACTGCTATCTTACAATCTACTTTTAACCACTTGGCAACATTCAGTATAGAATAGAATATATATATTCTCATTAATATCAGAATGAGAAAAATTGTAGCGGACATTTCTGTTTGTTGTGATCTGAAAATATTGTGGCAATTAGAAAACACAAGTAAGATAATAAATATCAATATTGGTGAGTTCTTTCATTGGCACTTTCATAATTTCATGAACATCAGAATTTGGAGAGGCACATTTATCACTTTCCCCTCACTTAACCTTCTATTAAATGTTGTGGATTCACATCCAAGGTGGCACTACTGTTGTGCTCTTGAGCAAGGTGCTTCAAGATTGCTTCAGTAGAGCACCCAGCTGTATAAACAGGAACAAGTGTATGTTGTTTGGAAAAACAAGCTAAAAATGTATCTAGCAAGTGTGAGGGATTTATTGGAATTTTTATTATGATGAAATTTCTTTCAGTGCAATATTTGTCTCCCACAATTATCCTATCTTGTACCGTAGTTATATTTTAAATCCATTTTATACAAGAAGGACAGATGGGTGTAGAGTAAATGTATTAAGTTAGCCATTTTAATGGAAAATGTAAACATGCATATTAAAACTGATTAGTTTATCAATATCTTCCATTTACAAGTTTTAAAGTATTTTTTTCACTCAACCATGTAATCTTCTGGCTTTTTCCCGGTGATTGATACTGTATGCTCATCCTAACAACACTTCTCTGAAAGGTTGCTTTAGCCAGGTGTTTCTTCAGCAGTTTGATTTAGAAGGCATTAAAACTGCTCTACGAAGGTCAGACAATACTGCATTCATAAAATATTATATTCTTTAAATTTACAAGAATATGTAGTGAAATTGCTTTCACTAATTCACTTATTAATCAATCTGAAATAGTGAAAAATGGGCATTTCACCCTTCATAACTGTTAGTTGAGAGGATCACGGAAGGTTTAGCTTTTTATTTAGAATAAATTAAGAATTGACTTTTATTAATCTAACTTATTTTTCTGGTTTCTTTTCAAATCACTAAGAGATCAGGAATATGATTTCAATAGCTTGCTTTTGGGGTTTTTTCTGTAACATACTGTATCTGCAATCACTTCCTTTATCGTAGCTGAAATTAGTTCACAAAAATATTTTGTCATTAAATTACAAGAATCTAGCAATGTGGAAAAGTGATTGTATACATTACGTTATTTGCTTATTCAGTCAAAACAGATTACTTATAGTATGTGTGATTACTTATAATATGTGTGTTCACTACCACATTGATGTATTGATGATATTGATGTATTAAAAACCCGTCTGAACTACATGCTTGATAAATGCTTGATAAATAATTGAATTAACTAATGATGGAATCTGCAATTTTTTATAACTACATTTCAGTACCTCCTTAATTTTGCAGCTTGTGGACTTCATTTCTTGTGGTATTTAAAGGTATGCTTGTACAACCCTAGATATAATTATTGGCATCTTCCATCACCAGCAGTCCTATTATTAATTTGTAAGGTATAATTAATACCCTTAAACTTGTGTGGCATCATTATCTTTTTGTAGACCAGAATGAAACATCTAAAGCAACATATTACAAATTAACCCAGCTAAGCACTTCTAAGAATAGGACAGGGTAATGCACATTTTTAGTGTTTTCCTATGTTTTTCTGTTCTTTTTATTTGTCAGTGTAACACACTGATAACAGAAATTGGTCAGGTGTATGCAAAAACAGATGAAGACTTCCTGTGGAGTGCAGGGATGCTGAGGATGAGGCATCTGTAAGAAAGGTCAAATTCCACACTTTCTACAACAAAAGCCTACCTCTGTTTAAAGTGCTCACCTGATCTGGCTCTTCTCATCCTGACTCTTGCTCTGTCACTTATCTTTCTGTCCTGCAGTGCAATTACATCTCCCTGGTTTCACTCCCTGTCTCAAGTCACAGTTTGACTGCCCACTCAGGATCTTTATTTATTAAGATTAAGCACATGCACTGTCCCACATTCCATATAACAGGCAGTCTGCACTTGACCATTTCTAGAGTGTAAAATTAATATAATTTGTCACCACTCTCTTCAAAGGCTGTTGGATTGTTTTAACTGTAGTTAATCCTATTGTTAATCCTGAATGTAGAAAAACAGGATTGGAAGATCAAAGGATGCTCATCTGAAATCTGAGTCATTGTTCTCCAAGCTTTCATTATTTTGTAACATTTTACAAAACAGTCATACAGATCACTGAAGACACTATAGATAGCTTCTCTAATCAACACATTTTTACACACTCCAGAAAGATAGTAGAAAGGGTACTTCCAGTGTGTTATCTAATTCACAAAACAGTGAAGGCCAAGACAATGCTTTTCATGTAGCAAACACAAAGAAGATTATTTTGATTATTTTCTATTGAGTCAAGTTCAATTCACAATGGTCTGTTTAAAAAAAAATATTTCACAGACTGGTTTCTTCAATTCAGTTACCTTCTAATCAATTACCAAGTGATTTAACAGAAAAAACAATACTGCATGTCCTTTGAATATTTGAAATCTTGTAAGTTTGGGGATACTACTTCATGAAACTGATACCAATAGTAAATGTAATTTAATTTATTATTAAATGTATTTAAATGTCAATATTACATATTACAATATTACATGTTACAATATTACATAGGAGCAATGAAGGATTTCAAAAATCAGCAATTATGCCTGCAAAATGTATGTTATTCACTGAAGAAAGGAGGTCTAATTTTAAAATGTTTACAGCACTGAAGACCAATTAAGGCTCACTGATGCATACTGTACGCCACAATGTTTCAATGTTTTCTGATCCCCTTTTCCTGGTGGTAGACAAACACTTTTACAAATGCAAATGTAGGGAGAGACATAAGCAAACTAACTGCACTTTTGAAAATTAGCAATTATCTTGAGTAAGAAAAAAGTGGATGAAATGTAGCATTGGGTGTGTGTTTTAACTGAGATATTTAAAACTGTGGCTATACAGATCACATGATGACAGATGTCTTCTGCTTAAGAAAATGAAATTGCATTACTGTATGTTCTCGGAGGATGAAGAGATACAGTTTGGCTCCTTTTCAGTGTGTCCAGAAAGCATGCTGTGTAAAGTCCATACAAATGTCAGCATGAAATGATAAGTCTGCCAATTCCTTTTCTCATAAATAATTGTGTCCAGCAAGTAAGCAAAATGTGTACTGTATGTATTTTTATCAGATGGGAAGTACTATAGAATAATGAAGAAGGACATTAAGAGTTGAAGAATAACTATTTCTTTTTGTTATTTCAAAGATGAAAAATTGCATTCAAAAAATGAAGGATGAAATTTAAGGCTGCAGTGTTTCAGCTTGTAATGCATCTGTTAATTCTAGCTCTTTGCGTAGGAGCCGAATATAACTTGAAGAGCTAGCTCCCCCCTTCATTAGGGAACGAGGAATCTGGCAGTTAGCAGACAGGTGGAGCTGAATCAAGCTGTGAAACCAATTTGATTGAAGCTGGGCATTAATGTGTTCTGAAATATCAGAAAGAAACACATTGGCTAGTCCTTAATGCGTGCTTTGTTTAATTTCTTTCTTGTGTTCTTTTTTCATTTTTATTTTTTTCCTGCTGCAGAATGACAGTGGTTTGCCTAGCTGTCTGTAGGAAAAGAATGAAGGTTGGCTTTTTGAACTGTTAATAGGGACATGGGATTCGCTCTTTCATTGATCACTCGTGAGGATTTTACTCATCAACATCAGCTAGAGAAGCAGCTGGAGTCTCATAGAAATACAGCTAAAATCTGCACTGAAGGTAAGATTCAACATTTCCTTTTATTTCTGAGCTTGAGTGACATAAATGCCCTGTTTCAATTGTCGCTATACATTAACTTGAAAACAACACTTTACTAAACTTATCTGTTCTTCAAGCAATATGCTGTATACATTATCACAATGTAAACATTTTCATTATTTTCTGTCAGTGCTGTTTATTTTTTTTTAAGTTTATGCATTTGTTCACTCACCAGAAATCCCATGCATAGAGTTATGGCTGTAATGTTTTTTAAAATGGCATGGAAGTACTTAAATAAGCTGATAACAATCCTTCATTTATTTTCTTTATTGTCTTTTTGAAATATAGTACTGTTTGTCCACAATTGAGTGGGTATATAAGCTTCTATAGTTAAATAAAATTACAGTTTCACAAAGATAGCTGCTTAAATCTAAGGAAAATCTAAGGAAGCCAAGATTTAGTAGCTGCTCTTACAACAGTTTTTATTCAGTACCACTGTTCTTGATTGGTGAATACTTTTGGGTTAATCTACTATTCATAAAGTTAATTAAATGTCAAGTACTTTTTATTTTTCAAATATATTTGTGAAAGTCTTCCATTGTAGTTGGAAATTCAGCTATCTATAAACCATGATTTAGATTACAACAGGATTATAAAATTTAAAATATGTAGATTTCTAGATATTTATTTTTATACTCTTTAGATGTTGATATCAATATATATTATATATCATAGAATATTTTTAAAATATATTTGAAACTTTCAGTAAGCAATATTTAGATAATAAAGTCTTCATAGAGATCTGTACACTGCAGAACAGTATAGGGTGCATTTTTTCTTCTCTCTTTAGTTTTTATGTTGCTTAAGCAATTACACATCCATTAAACAAGAAGTAAAAGAATAAAAACAGTAATTATAGATATTAGATATTGTTATGTGGTTATATCATATATGTTACTTCATTACTTTTAAAAAAGTGACATTTGAGGTCAGAAACCATGTCTTCCATCTGGACAAAGCAAAAAGAACATCTGTTAGGAGAAAAGGAACTAAAACAGATGAAAAGCTGATTTTTTCAGGGCTAATTGAGTATGACAGTGGTGTCTTGTAACACAAAATGTCTTGGATTGCCACACAATATAGAAGGGCAGGAGACACAATGTTAAAATAAAGCTGCACATTACACACAAAGACGATGTTATCAGTGGTGGTTTTATTCTTGTGTTTTCACACCATGAAGGCTGTACTTAATACAGTTTCACTTGAAACATTTATCGATGAAATGACATGACAAATCCTTGCCAATCTGCGGCTCATCCAAGGACACAATTCACACACCTTTGTCCTAGGATGACATTTTCTAACCAGTCCCACAGTTCACCAAATTGATAGACAATAGCTGAAAAATGCATGGAAGCTCAAGGTTTTACAAAAACAATTGCAAGAAGTATAGCTTTTTAATACACCTCCAGTTTCTGATAATGGTTTGAAATATCCATTTTATTGAAGCCTATTTATTGAGACTTCTTCTTCTGATTTGTCATATCACACATCATACTGGAAACATATTCATGTATTCATATATTCAAGACTAGCCTGTGTCTATTATCTCTATATCCATCTATCTATTCACATATTTATCCCATTAGATGAGTGATGGATGACTCTGAAGAATTCAATAAATGGAAAGTAGAATATATATATAGTAGTATATATATTTATTTTGTATCTGTAATATGTAAATCCTAAGTCAAATCACTAATACAGGCATACAAATTAATTATTCAAAGGATAAATCTTTCTTATTGTGCAAGAATGTCTTAACAAATAGTCATGTAGAAACTCCACATTTCTCTTATGATGCTGTGATCTCTGTTGAATGATAAGAAGGCAGTTTTCACAGAACAGAACCCAGAACGCCAGCACTGCTGAGCCCATTACCACATCATTGAAAGGTTTGCCTTACTAGTATCTGATTGACATTAGCATCTGTGGTATTGAACCAGAGGAAAAACATGTTATAAATGTACACTATACTATAAAAGGGCTTGTAGTTTAACAATAACTATTTGGGTAGTGCTAAAATTCACATTTTAATAATTATTTGAGATTTGGATAGAAGGTAGCACATAAAATCTTTTTTTTTATAGGGGAGTAATAAGATATATTTCATAAATAAAATTTAAAATTTTCTTTCAAACAAAACACAAAATTCACCATTGAACAAAAACAGACAATGCAATTAAGGAAGCAATAATTGAATTTTGTTTTCATTAAATCTTTCTTTGCCAAGAAGCCAATAACACTACCATATGGAGGTCAGTGAATCATTTGTTTTTCTGATGCTGGTCAAATCCATTCACTATCATCGGATTGTTTTCTGAAGCAGCTGAAATAGTGTGCAAAACAAAATAAAGTCTGTTATTTCATTTTTTATCAATTTAATTTAAATGTTGTCAACAAGGCAAAATTCCAAACATCTTAATATCATAAAGTACAAACAAAGCTGCTATGTTTCCTTGAATGGTGAAGTCCTCATGAGAAGTTAATTTTGGATTACCCATAGTCAGAGAAGGAATACAAGTAAAATTAATTACAATTTCTAAAAATGGGCTTGTAGAACATACTTGCAAGATGCATTTTTTGTCATTTGGTTAGAAGAGAGTGCTACTCCATTATTGCACTAGAAATGAGATTAAAAGTATGAAGAGAAAAAAACAAAGGGAGGATTTAGAAAACTTTAAGGAAACATTTTTATTCATCTTATTTTCAGTACAATTATGCAGTTTGTTACATTCGTTAAAATTAATGTTTTATAATATGTTTAATTAAATAACACCATTTAATTACAATTATAATAAATTTAACAAAAGGGTATATGTCAGTGAAATAACTCAAATATGCACACTGTACAGACTGTTATTTGCAAAAAAAACACAAGATATCTGCTGTGTATAGTATTTCTTAATAAGATTTCTTTTTTTAATGAAAACAATATTTATGAATAGTTTCCTAGGTTTTAGTAATTTAGGATTAAATAATTTATGTGAATTTCACTTTTGATGTGAAATCAACATCTATTATATACAGTATATATATACTGTACAGTAACAGTATGTCCTAATCTAGCAAAACCCTTTGTGGTACCTGTACAATCACTTTCCTGCAAGTGTCACGATATTAGTTTCCCCTCCTTAAGGGTGCTCCAGCCCTTTCACTTAAGACTTCATTCTCTGCACCTGTTTCCCATTCCCTGCCCACCTTAAAAGCCAGGCGCTGACGCTCTTCTCTGATTTCCATATCGTGCGAGTCCGGGACCTGGAAGCGCCTCGTCCCGTTAAGGTTTTAACCTCTGTTCCCGTTCCCGTTCCTAATCCCCGTCCGCCTGTTCCGACCCGGCCTTCGTGGTTTTAATTCCGTGTTCTGATGGATCTCCTGGTTTTGGACTTACTCTTGCGTTTTGGATATTCCCTAAGGACTACTCTTTTGGATTGTTCGCCTCGGCCACACCTCCCCCATGCACCAGCGCACCTTGGACACGCCCCCTCGTCTTCAGCCCCGTTTTCCTGCATGACGTTTCCCTAGTGTTTCCCCACTCCGTCGGACTGTGTCGTCCGCATAGGGTCCGGAAAGAACTGTTCGTTACAGCAAGAACATCTTCATTAAGAGTTACCGTACCTAGAGGTTTTCCTTGCAACATTTCTGAAATATGTGTGACTTAACAAGGGACCAGAAAGCAAGTTTAGTATTTTAATAATGGAGCTGTCAGTTTGATACCCAGCAAAATATTGACCTCAAAGGGCTTTACTACAAGATTTAGTTTTTGTTACTTTTGGGAATCAGTACTTTTTCTGTTGAATTACTGGGACTCTGGAACTCATATGTGCTGTCATGTGTTCATAAGTCAGTCACAAGCATGAAAGAGAGGGCAATGTTTTCATCGCCAGTCCACAGTCTTTTTCCAGAATAAATGTATTCTCTTTATTTATTTGTGTATCTTAATATGTACCTACTCTTTAGGTCACTGCGGAGTGTTGGTGTTTAATTGGTTTGAGGATGTCTGAGCAAGGCAAACTAAGCCAGGAGGCAACACAGGAGGCAGCACAGGAGGCCCCTGTGGGTGGTGGTGGCGAGCAGAACTGTGAGGTCCGCCCATCCTCCCAGAAGCAGACAAGTGTTAAAGCTCAAAGCCTGGAGGAGGAGGAGAATGAGAAGGAGGAGAGACAGAGTGACACCAGGGTGGAACAGCAGGTGAGAACTGAGAGGTGACAGCAACACGGCCTCCATCTGTCCTGTGTGGCTCACAGTCTATTCTTGGCAGAGCCTGCCTCTTTTTTTTCTTATTTTACTAATTAAAAGTTCTTTTGAGTTCTTGTATTTTATGAGAAAAATAGAAAGGGCTGGTCATCACCTTGAAAAGCCATTATTATTATTAATAATAATGTAGAACTAGGTACTTTAAATACTTCTGAATCAGATCAGCTTCCTGACTCTCTGTTGCATTATGTGATTTTCATCTTCTGAGTTTTGTCTATTTGTTGTTTGCTGTCACAGAAACGAGGGGTTTACCAGGGACAGCAGAAAAAAAGGCCCAAGGTAAGGTTAAACTTTATTGTATATGCATGCTAAGCTAGTGTGTTTTCTGAGATAAGATACCCGTGGGTGTGTTTGAATGACAACATTTGCCATTGATTTATTATTCCTCTTTGTATTTGAGTATGTGCATATCATTGTTTGGCATGTAGGCGGAAAAACATGCACTGTGTATAAGCATCTTCCTTATTTAGAGTACAGGAACTACGACTTGACTGGGTTTATGGAGTCATGCTCATTTAGCTGTCTAACAGTATTTTCCATGGCTCTGTAAACCAGTAAACCATATCCTTGATCCTGCAGGAAACTTTTCAATAGCTTTTACCATTTTAATACTCCTGTTGCTGTAATTTTATCAGTTTGAGATGATAAACTCTCCTGTAAAGTGGCTGAGGTTTAACATTTAACAGTGGCCTCAAGGCGAAAACATTTCAGTAGCATTCAGTTTTTTACCAATGGCTTACATAAATGATGAAATAATGATAATTACATTGTCTGTTATTTTTATGGATTTCAAGCTACTTATCCAGCATAAGTATGTATGCGCATAAGAAAAAGTGCTTTAGACCGAATCAATTTTTATTCTCAGTCTGGTAGTTTGTCAGTATAAACCTGTAAACTGCTTTGAAGAATAAAGGCTATTACGGATAAATCCAGCTTAAAAAAAACATACAGTAACAGAGCATATGACTTCTGTGCATTTCAATATGGAACAGAAGACCACAGAAGGGCAGATATTTGTTACCATGTGGTTTCTTTTCTTTATCTTCTTTTTTTTTCTGTAATTATATTCTTAAAGATAAGATAGCAAAAAGAAAATGTGGTGTGAGACAGTGTCATTTTCTGCTTTCTTCTTACTTTGATACAAATGTGTTCAGTATTCACAATCATCATAGGCGTGAATGTGATTTAACCTGATTTAAAAAGATTTAAATTAAAGAGATGTGTTCAAACCCTAATCTTACCCACTTCCTCCTACACACATTTAAACATCACATTTGTTGCTTACTGTACTTGCTTGTGTATTTCGATGAGTATCTGAACTGCTAACCATTACCTTATTTTAGGTTTTGTATTATAATTATACTTTGTTCATATTCTGTTTTTAGTCTTTGTCTGGTAAATTCTGCATAACTGATGTCTCTTTCAGTGTTGTAAACTCTGACCATCTTGTCCTTATAGACCAGTTGTCTTTCCCCTCTGCCAGAGTTGTTAACACAAAAAGCAAGCTAGTGCTAATTCTTATATGGGTACAGCTAAACTAATTAAATTTCGTTTTAAACTCAGTAGGAATTGAAACATTAATCTAGTTCACCTGCCTTTGAAATAAAGTTATAATTAAGTATAACTATTTAGCTTTCTTGCTTGTACTTTTTGTTTTGCAACCACCCATTGACCCCCATCAATACCCTTGCAGTCGATTCCAGACTCATCCCTCATAGTGGTGGAGGAGGGTGTACCAACAGCCTTGTCCTCATAGCCAGGTTGTCGGTCTCATCAGTCAGGCGAGTTAAGTCAATAAATTAAATTCAAATCATGCCTCTACTCCACCTTTAATAAAGATTTGACCAAACCACTGAAAAATGTTTTTACTCTAGTTTTTCTTATTGTCCTTGCTACAAAAAAATGTTGATGTGATGAATCTTCCATTTGGCTTTCTAACACTGGCTTTGAGATACTGTACAAATCTGCTAGCAGTTTGAACAAGCTGATTTTAAGAAGAGAATTTCCTAAATCTGTTAGCAGTCCTTGGTGTTGTATAAAATTTCTTAACCCTATAAAATTACCTTTTTGGTATTGGTACAAAACTAGTATGAATGTCTCTGCATTGGACTAGATAATAAGGAAGGTGTTAGGATAAAACTGAAAATGTAGTGATAGATCTCTAATTGAAAGTGGTTAAAACACATTAAACAAACTATCCATTAACGTTATTAAATGTCTTTATCTTCTCATTAGATTACATGACTAAAGTTGTTCCTGATTCAATGTTGTTTCCTAGATACAGTATGTGAAAAAATAGAAAATTATCAAGCAGTTTTCTATTAAGAAACACACATCGTTTTAGATACTCTTTATTTTGTTTTTTTAGCATGTGACATTTGAGTAAACAATACTGGCTGACAAAAGTTCGGAAACATCATAATGGACCGTAAGCCAAATTTGCAGTTTTGAACAAGCATGACAGTGTAGCACAACTGTTGTATACATTTTTATTTGAAAATAAAATGTACTTGTGTGGAGAAGATGCAGGAATACTGAGTGCAAAGATCCCTAAAGATGTTCTCCTTTCTTGTGCAGAAATAATTTTAGCTTTTGGTAATAGTAATAATGTTAATAATAATAATAATAATAATAATAATTGCTTACACTTATATAGAGCTTTTCTGGACACTCCACTCAAAGCGCTTTACAGGTAATGGGGACCCCCCTCCACCACCACCAATGTGGAGCATCCACCTGGATGATGCGACGGCAGCCATAGTGCGCCAGAACGCTCACCAGACATCAGCTATCAGTGGGGAGGAGAGCAGAGTAATGAAGCCAATTCATAGATGGGGATTATTAGGAGCTCGTGATTGGTAATGGCCATGGCAGAGGCCTCAGAACAAGGAAAGTCTTCTTCATGTGGTATGAGACGTTATATAGATGATACCTGTGAAGGAGAATAGTCAGATCTGCAAAAGAAAAATCCCTGTAGTCCTTTTTCTCAGGCCAAACATTCTGACAAATACATTTGACTAAGAATTGTGCATTCTTCTTGAGTAAATTATTTTATCATATTTACTTATCATTTTTAAGATGTCACATTTTACCAAAATTTGAAATGTTTCACATTAAAGCTCTCTGTATGTTGACAGTAAGTGTATAGATATACTGTATGAGAAAATAATTAAGCAAACTAAAATAAATTGCTTTATTTTAGAATTTTGTCAGGTTATTGTTATTACGTTTTGTTATGTAATCTCCTCATGAACTAACTTGAATGTTTTTAAACATTTTGTGAACCATTTTATGAAACGTGTACGACTATCTTAATTCAGTGATTTGGTCTTTCAGGTGCATTTGATTGTCAAAAGTAGAAGCTGCCTAATGTGTTATGTCCTCATATTCTGAAATTTCTGAACACTTTACAACTCCACATTTCTTTTATTCATTACCTGGAAGTGTGATTGGTAACTTTGGCATGGCCTTTATTTCACTTTAAAAAACTGAAGTAAGAAATAAAAACAAAGTGGAAAAGTAATATTTTTTAAAAAATGTAATAATCTATCAGTAATAAGTTCCTGGAAAATGTGTATATATATCAGACAATCATATTCCTGCATCTTTCCTGCGATATTTAATTTATATTTTTGTTCCCATTATTTATTTATTTACTTTTATTCACTGAGTGTTCTTTGCAGGTGTGTTAAATAACTGTTAAATTACTTTTGTTATTTTATACTTACTTGAGCACTCTGCAGAGCTTTATTTATTTATTCATTTTATTTAATGAGGCTTTGTGTGAGAAACATTTCCATCTTTTTCCCAAAGCAGCTGTAGTTGGACTAAATTTAGCTGCAGTGCTTTTTATTGGGACCATACAGCCATAAGGCGTAGCTTCTCTTTTTCTTTGGTAAAAAATCATTTTTTAGGGCGGTCAAGATGTGACAATTTATTACATGCACACATTTCACAGCTGTGCCTTAACTTGGTGGAAAAAGGTAAATGTGTCATTTTATTTGTTTCAGTCAGGAGCAAAAGGTAAACTGGTGCGCAGTCTTGCTGTGTGTGATGAGTCTTCCCTGCCTATAATCACAGATGGTGCTGAGGATAATCAGGTATGGCTCCCCTTTTCCTGTTAAGCACCAGCAGCACACATGGTGCCTGCCATGATCATTCAAGGGCACACAAGGACTTTTGAAAATTATTTTTATCCAACTAAGCACTAATGACTAGTCCATTGTATTGGGTAGTAATGGACAAGGCCAGAAGAAGAAAAACAACAGCTTTTGAATCTTGATGATATATACAAGTAGTCTTACCTGAATGATGCTAATGTTCCAGAACGGTACTGTATATATCTTTGATATTTCAATATTTCTGAAGGAATTGTAAAGATTTGTTTGAAGGGAATTGAACGGTTTCAATGAAGCCATTCTTCAAACTGTCCCCCTTTATATAGTGTGTTGTTTTTGCACCACATTTAGACATTGTGTGTTTCTATGTGCTGTTCAACAGACATACTATTTGAAATATCAGTATGCTTACAGTATGTACTGAAAAATATACAACTGATCGACAACCAATAGTGAAGCTCCACTTGCTACTTGTCAGGAATATTATGACATTGATTATAACAACATTAGCTGTAATAATGACAATATTGCAGCAATCATTGATGGCCACGATAACATACAGTATGGACAAGGACAGTGTTAATTACAATACATACTGTATGGCTTCCTATGTATGTTCTAGAATAACTATGTGCACTCTGTAAGGATACAATTTTTCCTCTGAGCTTTAGGAAAGGTACAAAGTCACTGACTTCGTAAAAAGTTTGAATGTTTTAACGATTTTTGTGAATACTTGTTATCGCAGTAAAAAAACGCATACTTTTTAGAATTTGATTAATAGGGAATATAATAGGGAATCGCGCATATAAAGAAATTAATAACAATATAATTATTTTCATATATCTCAAATTATCACAGTAGTACACTTTCTTTGTAAATGTCTTCATCAGTTTAACTCCCATGTGATTATGTGTGTGGTGTAATGGTTTAGATGGATAGATAAGACTTTATTAATCCTGCAGGGAAAGTGATGTTATAAGGCATGTGCCTTGCATGTTGGAGGACGGGGGTGTGAACCCAGCTGTCACCAAGAAACATTTCTTTGAAAAACTAAAATTGCAAATATTATGGACATTATATTGACATTTTTTATATTTATAAATATCACAACATGTTCGAAGCTAAGTAATTAATTCTTAAAAAACAAATAATTTAATACTGCTACTGTACTGCCACTACAATATAGCTTGTGGAAAATACATTTATTTGTCCTGCATCAAAGTTTAACTCGTTCAGAACGCCCTACATTACAAACTCCAAGCATTTCCTTTTGTCTATTGCTACAATATTGACAGCAATGTTGTTACAAGGAACATGTCAAAATGTTTCCAAAATAACCATAGGAGAACAAATTAATGGATTTGATCATAATAGAGAAATCATAACAACGACCATATGTTGCTAATCATGCATACCCAACAGTACTGTATCCACTTTCTTTGTAAACACGTTTTATTTTTAATTTGACTCATTCACGCATGATGAATTGTGAATGATAGAGACAAGATGGAAGTTCTTGTCAAAACTACATTCCCCAGAATGCAGTGGGAATGCAATGTCAGTCACCCTCAGTCACCTGACCAGCTGATACACTGCGCTGGAGAGAATGACTGAAGGATTAACCCACTAAGAACGAGTTTTTTTTAAACAACCTGCGGGGAAGGAAAAGTGCCCGTGGTCATTTTTTTCACCGACAGACAGTTAACTTGTGGTGCATTGGTTGTTAGTAAAACGATGTAATCATTTAATCTCTTTACTGTACTTGTTTTAATCCATTTAATATTGAATATTTATATGGAATTTTATAACTAAAGGGAAATTTTAGTAGATGAGCATGAAAGCCATCTGCAACGGAAAGAAACTGGTTTGACGTACAGTAAATGTGACAAGGTGACTTTCTGCTATCTAAACCATTTTTTACAGCTTTTAAAGTCACACAATGTTTGAGTTAGGCAGCAACACTTTATTGTATCTTAATTTTTATTTCATTTTTAAAAATAAAATAAGGTAACCAGCATTCAAGTGTCCTGTTTTTTCTTAATACTCATTTTTCTATACTGTAGTTTGAGTCTTTGTGTATGCTGTAAGTTCTTTTTACTTCTTAATTAAACATTTGAAACACTTTAATTTTGTAAATGCAACACGCATTCCGTACAGAAATAAAATCATGTTTTATTTCAATGCCCAGTGATATAACTTCAATATAAACCAGATCTAGTACCTGGTGCAGTTTTTTTTTTTTAAACTTATTTTGAATTAATGGAATCCCAGGTGTGAGTTCATAAAGCCAGAATTATGTACAGATGCAGCCATTTAAAATGCGCGGGCGATACCGCATTATTTTGCGGTGCGCTTTATGCGGTCTACCGCAAGTCAATTCTCCTATAATACCGCAATTAAAATAATAGTATCCGGAATTTCCGCAAGGTGGAGCTAATAAAGCTCAACCTCTCATGTTTGAGCTGTCGCC